GGCTGCCCTGCAAGAAAGCAGTGCTGAAGTCAAGAGAGTGCAGCTCGTAGTCGCGGTGAGCAGCTATGTGCAGCAGTACCCGAAGAGTGGTCATCTTCGGGGTGGGAGAGAAGGTCTGAAAGTAGTCAACTCCCTGCCGCTGACTGAAGCCACGAGCCACGTAACGCGCCTTGAAGACAGGCGGAGAACCCGGCGGCCGCTTCACCCTGAAAATCCACATGCCACTGACGATGTTCGCCCCAGGCGGGGGAACCTCGTCAACGTAGGTGCCTGTGGACTTCCAGGAAGCCATCTCTGCGTCCATAGCTGCCTGCCACTGAGAGGAGTAGGGACCCTCTATCGCCTCCGCGTAAGAGCGCGGAGTCGGGATGTCAAGTGCATCCGGGTCTCCCTCAGGGGTAAGCAGTACGGACACGAGATGAGGTGAAGCAGCAGCCAGACACTGGAACTCCTCCTGCCTGTCCTCAAGGACGTCCGTGCCAAGGGCACACTCACCCCCGACGGACGGAGGACAGACAGACTCAGACTCAGCAACAAGACTAGCAGCGTAGTCTAGACGACAGCGAGCAGCAAAGTCGACGAGCTCAGCAACTAGGGCAGACGCAGCAGTGGACTCAAAGGAAGGGTCAGTGACAACAGTAGCAAGGAGACGCGTGACAGTAGGACTGGCAGCACGAAGAGAGTCCGACTCCGGGTCAGGAAGAGCAGGAAGAGAGGACTCAGGAGGAGAAGGCAAAGGGGCACGCAGAGGAGCAGTGGACGGACGCAGAGACATCCGGTGCGTGCCAGGGACAGGAGGAGGACGCTGACGCGAACCACGACCACTAGTGCGAGCAGCACGGACAGGCGACGCAGGGCGAGACGCTGGCTCACGACGCTCAGCAAGACCTCCAGTAGGACCAGTGTAGGGAGAAGGAGCAGGCAGTGGGGAGGCCGGCTGTAACTGTAACTGTGACGGGACAGGCTGTGGACACTCTAAGGGAGGAGGAGGACCAGTAGAAGGCGGGAGACCAAGAACCTGCTGAAGGAGCGGAACGAAGTACGGCCGAGGCCGCGCGGCGACTCCAGACACAGCAAGGACAGCACCAGTACCCCCAGCGGCAGCACCAGCGCCAGCAGCACCTCCAGCTCCAGTACCTCCAGCAGCACCAGTAGCACCCCCAGCAGGACCGCCTCCAGGACCGACAGCAGTAGCCTCAGCGCCAACACCCTCAGCAGCTCCAGCTCCAGTCGTACCCGCAGGCCTAGCAGCTCCAGTACTCCCAGTACGAGCACCTCCGGGACCCGCGGCACCAGCACCATCAGCAGTCGAAGAACCTCCAGCTCCAGCAGCACGCCTCCAGCGCCGGGTAAACCACTCGCGCAGCTCCTGTGGAGAGAGTGGCTCCCGCCGAGACGAAGCACCCGGAGAACCTCCAGGCTCAGCACCTCCAGACTCCACACGAGCAGGCCCAGCTCCCTCAAGCTCCGCACCCCCAGGCTCAGCACCTCCAGGCGTAGCACCCCCAGGCTCAGCACCCCCAGGCTCAGGACCCCCAGTAGTAGCACCCTCAGGCTCAGCACCCCCAGGCGTAGCACCCACACGCTCAGCACCCCCAGAGTCAGCACCCCCAGGCTCAGCACCCTCAGCAGCACCAGAGTTACCAGTAACCTCGACAGGCTCGACTGCGTCTACCTGAGACACACCTGAAGGGGCAGGACCCTGAGGGGGGAGGGGGTCTACCGGGGGGGGACCTGGCACAAGGAAGAGCGGTGGCGGGGGGAGGGACGGAGTGCGGTAGGGGAAGAGGCGGTAGTAGGGGACCGACTCGTCAAACGTGACGTCCTGGGAGGACAGAACACGGCGAGAGGTGGGGTGGTAGAACTGCCACCCTGGCGCGTCAGGGGGGAAGCCAAGGAAGACGCAAGGAGCATCACGAGGGGACAGCTTGTCCGCAGACAAGTCGCGGACAAACGCCCGAGATCCCCAGACACGGAACGCAGACGCATCGCCAACCTTCCCCGTCCACAGCAAAGCTGGGGAGGTCTCCGGCATGGAGACCCTGGGGTGAAGGTTGATCTGATGCGCCGCATACCGAACCGCAAACGGCCACAGAAAATGGGGGGCAGCCGCATGCATCATGGACGTACGGGCGACGTCCATGACCATGCCAATGCGGCGCTCAGCAATCCCATTTTGCTGTGGAGAGTCCGGAAGCGTGAAGGTCTGGCGGATGCCTCGTGCACGACAGTAGGCTCGCAGAAGGCCAGAGGAGAACTCTCCACCTCTGTCAGAGTGCAGACGCAGAACAGGAAAGTCCGAGCCGAAGCTCTGCCTGAGCTGGAGACGAGCTGCGCGGATCCAGTCGATCAACACCTCAGTGACATCACCCTTGCTGCGCAAGGGGAAGACTGTGGTGTAACGCGAGTAGTCGTCAACCACCAGCAGGAAGTAGCGCTCGTGACCCTGTCCACGGACGCGGGCCGGGCCCCACACGTCCATGTGAAGCGTCTGCAGCGGGGCCTCTGTCGGAGGAAACTGGGAGGAGTGAGGGGCAGCCCGCTGCCGCCCCTCGACACAGGGGACGCAGGTAGGGCCAGGCCCCGGAGGAAGGGGAGGGAGGGACCGGGGAAGACCAGAGACAAGGACACGGGAGGCCATGCCTCGGAGACGAAGCAGGGAGGGGTGACCAAGGCGGTGGTGCCAGAGGAGAGTCTCGTGAGTCAGAAGGCGACACGAACAGGGGGCAGACTCAGGACCAGACCTGGACGCTGCAGCAAACACCTGACCCGGCCGTAAGGGGCCGTAAGGGCGGCGCGAGGGTCCGTAAGGGCGGCGCAAGGGGCCGTGAGAGGGGCCGCTAAGGGCGACGCGAAGGGGCCGTGAGGGGCCGTGAGAGGGCGCGACGGTAGGGAGGGCACACAGGGCGCGACTCGGGCAGGAGCGAAGCGCGCTCCGGGCAGGAAAAAAAAATTCGTGGTGGGCCCTAGGAAGTGTTCCCACTAGGGAACCTGCTCTGATACCATGTCAGAATCCCAACCACTAGACCATTGGGATAAAAGGGCTTTTTAAGTAGCGGGTCAGTGCGCCCATAACCCCCCAGGACAACGAGCCTGTAACCCTTCCCTAGGATCAATGGGGGATCACCAGTGGACCTTTGACACCCCCCCGCACTGGGATGCCCGAGGTGCACACACTGGGATTCGAACCCGAGACCTTCGCTCTGATACCATGAGAAGAAACGAGGAATGGGAATGACTAAAGGAAAGTTGGGTACAAAAGCAAACCCTAGAAAACTGTACCCCATATGTGCTACCCCACTATAGCCTACAGTAGCTATGTCATATAAATCTGACAGGATATCGATCTGGCGTGCGATCTGTCAACATCATTGCACTTTTTTTAACACAAACTCGTGTCTTGAGCATGCACGTTACGAGCATAATGCTGGAGGATGGATTGGAAATATTTGGTTGGTTGTCGCTTCTATGCGCACATCTAACCTTATAGCTGATGTGATTCGGACCTTTTGGTCTATACAAAAGGTGGATCTCGTCGAGAGGCGGGTTGCTTGCCCTCACACACCCACTTCACTGATGATATTCCATGTCGTAATGGCTCACGTTTCATAAAATTTCCCATATCGTATAGCATGGTTTTTCCATTGCGTACTAACCGTTGGTTCCCCTTTTCATGGCTCCTGCATCTATTGAACCTTGAACACATAGTGCTACCGTATTTACAGAGGCGCTAAATTCGATACTGCATGTTTTGCTGTTAATTGACAACGAATGCCCTATCAAGGGCACCGGATTGTAAGCTGGTTACACAAGCTGTATGCATTGTACACATTGGAAATGCGTCAAAGTTTGGTATGTGCTTCACAACTCCTTTGCAACAATATGCCACTAGTCTTCAGCCTTAATACTCGAGGCAACATCGTTTGCATACCATGCAACCAGTGCATCAACATGTTAACGTGTGCAATACGTCATCGACCGTGATCTACGGTAAATACGACTTAGTCATGTAGTCATGCTGCGAAAGGCCCGCCCTACATCGAAGTGACGTGATGTTATTGCACAATGTTGACATTATGCTCAATTCAACAACTATGGTTAGCTACCATAACTTCCCGACTTCATCACTTACGTGCTCGGTCGTCGGATAAACGACTAACATCCTCGAACGACTGCCAAAGGGTTTTATTTAGGTTCTCTTACGAGATGGATGGCGCCTCATCGCTACTGACGATTTCTTGCGACAATCACTGTGCAACTTATTGCTCACTCGATTCTTACGCGCATCTGATACTTCTTTCATTGTTCTCTTCTTGGGAACCTCCCCCACAATAGTAGGTGAGGGTATATAGTTCCTCCATTCCATTCCGTCCTTCCCTACTAAGGTAAAACCCTGAGTTCTAGAGCCTTGCTCCCGACGCACCTAATGTCTCTTATCTCCTATGACGACTGCTCTGCAGACTCCTTGGAGAGTCTTGTCTTAATATGTAAAATTCTTAAATACAATTTTCAAAATTTAAAGATTATGACAAGACTTGTAAAGGATTATGCAGTAAGGAGTCATCTGCTCCTTATCTCGTGGCAGGTCCACAGACCTGCCACCTAGTCGAATCATTTCTAGATCTGAATCTAGAACCCACCCTCCCGCCCTTACGCTAGTTAGTAGCCTCGTTAGCCTCGTATCTATACCAGTGGTAGTTATTTTCGTCTCGTTATATCCTCATTATCTTTGTAATTTGCAATCTAGTGTGCTGTATGATTGAGATCTGAAATATGACGACTGCTCTGCCTATGACGACTGCTCTGCAGACTCCTTGGAGAGTCTTGTCTTAATTAGAGAGTATTTTGTGTAACCCCTAGGATGTGACTCAGCCTATATAAACTATAACACAGTTTGACATCCGGGACCTATAGCCGGAATAATACGGTAGTTCAGTACAGCATTTTTACATCATGGTAGTCAGATACACGTCTCCTTCCCTTTAAAGTTTCTCACATGATCACCCTGATCGCCACTGCAGAGAAAGAACAATGCATAGGTATGATTCAGTACACGTGGAGTGGAGAGGAAGTGCGTTGGCTGATGGAGTGAACGCACGGAGTGAACAAATGTGTGCGACATGTGAAGGGCAGAACGAAAGGCCACAAAATGACTGGTACTTGGCAGGGAATGAAGAGGAACGAAACCCTGGGGTAGCAGAAGAGATGTGTACAAGCAAGGGGGCGTGCAGGTGCACCTGTTGTGCGATGTCATCCTCCCTGGACGGCCCCTGCGGCTTGGCAGCAGCCGCCGCCATGGCCGAGCGCGCCGCCCTCCCCGCCGCTGAACTCTCAAAGCGCGCCGCCCTGGGGAGACGAGGGGAGTTGGGCAAGGGGGCAGAGGGACAAAGTGGTAATGTGATGAATGGCGAATGGGTGCACGGCGAGCTGCTGAGGGTGACTTGATGCGTGGCGTGGAAGAGCGTGAGCCACGACAACAACCTCAAAAGGATTAGTGGCTTGCTGCACGGCTGCTAGATGGTGTGGCTGCTAGATGGTGTGGCTGCAGGGATAGGTATTTATGCTAGGAGAGAGGAAAGGGCGACACGCAAGGAAAACCGCATTGCCACGTTTCTAGCATGGCATCTTGGCATGGCGCCTCGATGCCATGGCCTGCTGGATTCTAGTAGCTTCTAATCATCGACGAGGATACGAGGATAACACCTACCTCTACTATTCGGAGCTATCTAGGCAAGGGGAGGGGAGTTCCAACCGTTCGGGTATTCCCATGCACGCTAGCATGGCGAATCTTATCTGGTTACACTGCTACATGGTGAGTGTGCTTCATTGGTGCCATGGCGTCACAGCTGATCCTACATCTTTCTACTGCCATCGCAGCCTATCAGTTCCCCACCCATCCCATCTTCTGTCCTCCTTGCGCTATTCCTTCTCTCCCTGCCCACACAACCCCACCTTCTCCCATCCCCTTTGCCCCTCTTCCATCCCTTTGCCCCTCTCCCATCCCGCTTGCCCCTGCCCATTCCCCCTCGCCCCACCCCCTTTCCCTCGCCTGTTCCTTTTTCCCCACCCTCCCTCCCTGCTCCTCCCTCTCCGCGCCTCCCTCCCCCCATCCCCGCGGGCACCTTTCCTCGGCGGCCTGCGCGGCTCTGCTCCGCGCGTGCGCCACCTCCTGCCTCTCCGCGTCGGACAGCGGGCGCTCGCCGCGCGGGTAGAAGCAGTCGAAGCACGACACCAGCGCGCCCATCCGCGCCTGCGCGCGGGCGGGACGGGCCGGACGAAAGGGAGTGTGGGGGTGGGGAGAGAGAAAGGGGGGTGAGTGAAGGCACGGACTGGAGGAAGCGAGAACGAAAAGGGCGGGAGAGGGAGGGCGAGAGCAGATGAGCGACGCGGCAGATTCCCACCAACGATGGCTACAGCAGAAGCGGGAGGGCGATGCCGTGTACTCCTGGCCGTGCTCGCTTGCTGTAATCCTGGCCGTGCTCGCTTGCTGTACTCCTGGCCGTGCTCGCTTGCTGCCTCGTCCAACGAACGAGATTATATGCTCCCACGCGGTACCGTCCACTTCATCTGCTCTCGCTTCGTGACGCCTGCGCGACGAGACGCGAGGCGAGACCTGGACCGAGTGTGAGGAGCGAGGATTGGTGCCGCTCAGTCTCTTGGCTTCCTCGCTCTCCCTCTCCCGCAGGGTGGAAAGGAGCCGCTGCGACACGTCTGTTTTCAGAAGAGTTTGTGCTGGCCTGGGACTAGAGCCCCGAGAGGTTCCATGACCTAAAAGTTGCACCCGCACTTGACCGTTCCGCATCGTACTGTATCGAAGAGTCCTCATTATCGAAATGCCCCCTCTTCTTATTGTTCCGCTAATGGTATTTGGAAATCTCGGAAAAGCAGCCTGCGGAGTGGACGACTTGACATTTCCTGTACACTAGATACACTATATTTCTCTGGGTTTGCTATTATTTGCCCCATCTTCACTGGAATTGTAACACAGGTTACATCAGTGTCGTCGAGGCGCCATACACCTTCCGTTGTCAGCTCTGCGCCACCAAGTCACGGACTTACCATGGGACCTTTTCCCCGACCGACCGCTTAGTTGATCGCACTCACACACGTGTCGCAGCGGCACTTTCCACCGTGCGGTGCCCGCCTGCCCTCAGTGCGCGTGCTTCCTGCGCGCACCTGAGAGGGTCCTCCTGTGCTCCTCGCACTGCGCGCTTGCGCCGCTCGCCACTCACCGCTGCGCGCCGCTGCCGCCTGTGAGCGTCACAGCGGCGCCTGCGGAGCTTCGAGGCCGTCTGCCACGCCGCGTGACGCGACGGTGGGGCGGCGGGCGGCATGGCGGCGGTGAAGGCGAGTGCGCGGTGCGCGGAGAACGAGGCGGCGGTGGTGTACCTGCAGGGCCGGCAGCGCGAGCTGTGCGGCGAGTGGGACGGCGCGCTCACGCGTGCGTTCCGCATGGCCATCGCGAGCATCAGCGACCACTCACTGCCGCTGCGCACCCTCAACGACGCCAGCAAGCTCAGGTGCCTCCCCGCGTCGTGCCGTGCTCTCATCCCCATGTCTGCACTTGCATTCCGCACGCACGCCTCACTGCCCCACCCTCGCCACACACACAACACCATCCCCCGTACCCCCCTCCTCCGCTCAAGCCCCCCCCTCTCTCCCCCTCTCTCCCCCTCCCCCCCCCGCAGGAACGTTGGTCCCGCCATCCAGCGCCAGCTCAAGGCGTTCTTCGCCACCCACAAGCCCGCCGCCCGCCCCCGCACACCCACCCCGCCCGCCAATAGCGTGCCGCCAGCTGGCATCGACCCGGGCATGGCGGTGGGCGGAGGGGCGCTGGACATGGGTCCCGTGGGAGGTGAGAGGGGCGGGCTGGGGAGCAGTGGCTCAGGATGAAAGGGAGAGTTTACGGGAAAGGGGAGGGGCGGTGTGCAGAGGACGGGTTTGTGGGCGAGGCGACTGGCGACTGGCGACTGGCGACTGGCGTGCACCCGTGGTTGCTGCACGCGTGGGTGGTGGGGGCACTGCGGGTGGTGCAGGTGTGTGTGAAGGAGAGAGGGGGATTCTCGAGAGGGAGGAGAGGCAGCAGGGAGATAAGTGGCAGGAGGAAGAGAAGCAGCGGGGGGCGTGGGTGAGCAACGTGGGATGCACGCATGCCCTTCTCACAGCTGCCACTTCGTGCGTGCAGGTGATGACGTGGCACATGCAATGGACCAATCAGCAGCGCCCGTGCCGGACTCCATCCCGCGCAAGCCGCCCAAATACTCCCCCAAGCGCGGCTCTGCCGCCTTCGCCATCCTCGTCACCCTCCTGCTGTGAGGGGCCCCCGCCTGCCCCCCTTCCCACTGCCCCCCTTCCCACTGCCCCCCATTCCCACTGCCCCCATTCCCGCTGCCCCCATTCCCACTGCCCCCCTTCCCACTGCCCCCCTTCCCACTGCCCCCCTTCCCACTGCCCCCCTTCCCACTGCCCCATTCCCGCTGCCCCATTCCCACTGCCCCCATTCCCGCTGCCCCCCTTCCCACTGCCCCCCTTCCCACTGCCCCCCTTCTTACTGCCCCCTTCCCACTGCCCCATTCCCGCTGCCCCATTCCCCCTGCCCCCATTCCCGCTGCCCCCATTCCCACTGCCCCCATTCCCACTGCCCCCATTCCCACTGCCCCATTCCCGCTGCCCCCATTCTCGCTGGCCCCCCTCCCCGCCTGCCTCCCCACCCAGCTCTTGAGAGTTGTCACATGACACTGCGTGCTGCCGTTGTATGACACTGCGTGCTGCCGTTGTATGACCTGCTTGTCATGCCATTCTGCCACTCACATGCTGCACCGTGCCTCACTATCCCACCTGGTTGCCGCCATGCAATGGCATGGCATGGCACGGCATGGGGTGGCGTGGCATGGCATGGCATGGCGTGGCGTGGCATGGCATGGCGTGGCATGGCATGGCACGGCATGGGGTGGCGTGGCATGGCGTGGCATGGCACGGCACGGCATGGGGTGGCGTGGCAATTCATGGCATGGCGTGGCATGGCCTGGCATGGCGTGGCATGGCATGGCATGGCATGGCGTGGCATGGCCTGGCATGGCGTGGCATGGTATGGCATGGCATGGCCTGGCGTGGCATGGCCTGGCATGGCCTGGCGTGGCAGGGAGAAGGTGAAGGGGCGGCAGGCGGTGCCAGTGGCGGAGCTCATGGCCGCCTCCAGGGACGAATCCCTGCTCGCCTCCGTCATCAGGTGCTCGCCTCCGTCATCAGGTGCTCTCCTCCGTCATCAGGTGCTCGCCTCCGTCATCAGGTGCTCGCCTCCGTCATCAGGTGCTCGCCTCCGTCATCAGGTGCTCGCCTCCGTCATCAGGTGCTCGCCTCCGTCATCAGGTGCTCGCCTCCGTCGTCAGGTGCTCGCCTCCGTCGTCAGGTGCTCGCCTCCGTCGTCAGGTGCTCGCCTCCGTCGTCAGGTGCTCGCCTCCGTCATCAGGTGCTCGCCTCCGTCATCAGGTGCTCGCCTCCGTCATCAGGTGCTCGCCTCCGTCATCAGGTGCTCGCCTCCGTCATCAGGTGCTCGCCTCCGTCATGAGGTGCTCTCCTCCGTCATCAGGTGCTCGCCTCCGTCATCAGGTGCTCGCCTCCGTCATCAGGTGCTCGCCTCCGTCATCAGGTGCTCGCCTCTGTCATCAGGTGCTCGCCTCCGTCATCAAGTGCTCGCCTTCGTCATCAGGTGCTCGCCTCCGTCAACAGGTGCTCGCCTCCGTCATCAGGTGCTCGCCTCCGTCATCAGGTGCTCGCCTCCGTCATCAGGTGCTCGCCTCCGTCATCAGGTGCTCCCCTCCGTCATCAGGTGCTCGCCTCCGTCATCAGGTGCTCGCCTCCGTCATCAGGTGCTCGCCTCCGTCATCAGGTGCTCGCCTCCGTCATCAGGTGCTCGCCTCCGTCATCAGGTGCTCGCCTCCGTCATCAGGTGCTCGCCTCCGTCATCAGGTGCTCGCCTCCGTCATCAGGTGCTCGCCTCCGTCATCAGGTGCTCGCCTCCGTCATCAGGTGCTCGCCTCCGTCATCAGGTGCTCGCCTCCGTCATCAGGTGCTCGCCTCCGTCATCAGGTGCTCGCCTCCGTCATCAGGTGCTCGCCTCCGTCATCAGGTGCTCGCCTCCGTCATCAGGTGCTCGCCTCCGTCATCAGGTGCTCGCCTCCGTCATCAGGTGCTCGCCTCCGTCATCAGGTGCTCGCCTCCGTCATCAGGTGCTCTCCTCCGTCATCAGGTGCTCGCCTCCGTCATCAGGTGCTCGCCTCCGTCATCAGGTGCTCGCCTCCGTCATCAGGTGCTCGCCTCCGTCATCAGGTGCTCGCCTCCGTCATCAGGTGCTCGCCTCCGTCATCAGGTGCTCGCCTCCGTCATCAGGTGCTCTCCTCCGTCATCAGGTGCTCGCCTCCGTCATCAGGTGCTCGCCTCCGTCATCAGGTGCTCGCCTCCGTCATCAGGTGCTCGCCTCCGTCATCAGGTGCTCGCCTCCGTCATCAGGTGCTCGCCTCCGTCATCAGGTGCTCGCCTCCGTCATCAGGTGCTCGCCTCCGTCATCAGGTGGTCGCCTCCGTCATCAGGTGCTCGCCTCCGTCATCAGGTGGTCGCCTTCGTCATCAGGTGCTCTCCTCCGTCATCAGGTGCTCGCCTCCGTCATCAGGTGCTCGCCTCCGTCATCAGGTGCTCGCCTCCGTCATCAGGTGCTAGCCTCCGTCATCAGGTGCTCTCCTCCGTCATCAGGTGCTCGCCTCCGTCATCAGGTGCTCGCCTCCGTCATCTTGTGCTCGCCTCCGTCATCAGGTGCTCGCCTCCGTCATCAGGTGCTCGCCTCCGACATCAGGTTCTCGCCTCCGTCATCAGGTGCTCGCCTCCGTCATCAGGTGCTCTCTTCCGTCATCAGGTGCTCGCCTCCGTCATCAGGTGCTGGCCTCCGTCATCAGGTGCTCGCCTCCGTCATCAGGTGCTCGCCTCCGTCATCAGGTGCTCGCCTCCGTCATCAGGTGCTCGCCTCCGTCATCAGGTGCTGGCCTCCGTCATCAGGTGCTCGCCTCCGTCATCAGGTGCTCGCCTCCGTCATCAGGTGCTCGCCTCCGTCATCAGGTGCTCGCCTCCGTCATCAGGTGCTCGCCTCCGTCATCAGGTGCTCGCCTCCGTCATCAGGTGCTCGCCTCCGTCAACAGGTGCTCGCCTCCGTCATCAGGTGCTCGCCTCCGTCATCAGGTGCTCGCCTCCGTCATCAGGTGCTCGCCTCCGTCATCAGGTGCTCGCCTCCGTCATCAGGTGCTCGCCTCCGTCATCAGGTGCTCGCCTCCGTCATCAGGTGCTCGCCTCCGTCATCAGGTGCTCGCCTCCGTCATCAGGTGCTCGCCTCCGTCATCAGGTGCTCGCCTCCGTCATCAGGTGCTCGCCTCCGTCATCAGGTGCTCGCCTCCGTCATCAGGTGCTCGCCTCCGTCATCAGGTGCTCGCCTCCGTCATCAGGTGCTCGCCTCCGTCATCAGGTGCTCGCCTCCGTCATCAGGTGCTCGCCTCCGTCATCAGGTGCTCGCCTCCGTCATCAGGTGCTCGCCTCCGTCATCAGGTGCTCGCCTCCGTCATCAGGTTCTCGCCTCCGTCATCAAGTGCTCGCCTCCGTCATCAGGTGCTCTCTTCCGTCATCAGGTGCTCGCCTCCGTCATCAGGTGCTCGCCTCCGTCATCAGGTGCTCGCCTCCGTCATCAGGTGCTCGCCTCCGTCATCAGGTGCTCGCCTCCGTCATCAGGTGCTCGCCTCCGTCATCAGGTGCTCGCCTCCGTCATCAGGTGCTCGCCTCCGTCATCAGGTGCTCGCCTCCGTCATCAGGTGCTCGCCTCCGTCATCAGGTGCTCGCCTCCGTCATCAGGTGCTCGCCTCCGTCATCAGGTGCTCGCCTCCGTCATCAGGTGCTCGCCTCCGTCATCAGGTGCTCGCCTCCGTCATCAGGTGCTCGCCTCCGTCATCAGGTGCTCGCCTCCGTCATCAGGTGCTCGCCTCCGTCATCAGGTGCTCGCCTCCGTCATCAGGTGCTCGCCTCCGTCATCAGGTGCTCCCCTCCGTCATCAGGTGCTCGCCTCCGTCATCAGGTGCTCGCCTCCGTCATCAGGTGCTCGCCTCCGTCATCAGGTGCTCGCCTCCGTCATCAGGTGCTCGCCTCCGTCATCAGGTGCTCGCCTCCGTCATCAGGTGCTCGCCTCCGTCATCAGGTGCTCGCCTCCGTCATCAGGTGCTCGCCTCCGACATCAGGTGCTCGCCTCCGTCATCAGGTGCTCGCCTCCGTCATCAGGTGCTCGCCTCCGTCATCAGGTGCTCGCCTCCGTCATCAGGTGCTCGCCTCCGTCATCAGGTGCTCGCCTCCGTCATCAGGTGCTCGCCTCCGTCATCAGGTGCTCGCCTCCGTCATCAGGTGCTCGCCTCCGTCATCAGGTGCTCGCCTCCGTCATCAGGTGCTCGCCTCCGTCATCAGGTGCTCGCCTCCGTCATCAGGTGCTCGCCTCCGTCATCAGGTGCTCGCCTCCGTCATCAGGTGCTCGCCTCCGTCATCAGGTGCTCGCCTCCGTCATCAGGTGCTCGCCTCCGTCATCAGGTGCTCGCCTCCGTCATCAGGTGCTCGCCTCCGTCATCAGGTGCTCGCCTCCGTCATCAGGTGCTCGCCTCCGTCATCAGGTGCTCGCCTCCGTCATCAGGTGCTCGCCTCCGTCATCAGGTGCTCGCCTCCGTCATCAGGTGCTCGCCTCCGTCATCAGGTGCTCGCCTCCGTCATCAGGTGCTCGCCTCCGTCATCAGGTGCTCGCCTCCGTCATCAGGTGCTCGCCTCCGTCATCAGGTGCTCGCCTCCGTCATCAGGTGCTCGCCTCCGTCATCAGGTGCTCGCCTCCGTCATCAGGTGCTCGCCTCCGTCATCAGGTGCTCGCCTCCGTCATCAGGTGCTCGCCTCCGTCATCAGGTGCTCGCCTCCGTCATCAGGTGCTCGCCTCCGTCATCAGGTGCTCGCCTCCGTCATCAGGTGCTCGCCTCCGTCATCAGGTGCTCGCCTCCGTCATCAGGTGCTCGCCTCCGTCATCAGGTGCTCGCCTCCGTCATCAGGTGCTCGCCTCCGTCATCAGGTGCTCGCCTCCGTCATCAGGTGCTCGCCTCCGTCATCAGGTGCTCGCCTCCGTCATCAGGTGCTCGCCTCCGTCATCAGGTGCTCGCCTCCGTCATCAGGTGCTCGCCTCCGTCATCAGGTGCTCGCCTCCGTCATCAGGTGCTCGCCTCCGTCATCAGGTGCTCGCCTCCGTCATCAGGTGCTCGCCTCCGTCATCAGGTGCTCGCCTCCGTCATCAGGTGCTCGCCTCCGTCATCAGGTGCTCGCCTCCGTCATCAGGTGCTCGCCTCCGTCATCAGGTGCTCGCCTCCGTCATCAGGTGCTCGCCTCCGTCATCAGGTGCTCGCCTCCGTCATCAGGTGCTCGCCTCCGTCATCAGGTGCTCGCCTCCGTCATCAGGTGCTCGCCTCCGTCATCAGGTGCTCGCCTCCGTCATCAGGTGCTCGCCTCCGTCATCAGGTGCTCGCCTCCGTCATCAGGTGCTCGCCTCCGTCATCAGGTGCTCGCCTCCGTCATCAGGTGCTCGCCTCCGTCATCAGGTGCTCGCCTCCGTCATCAGGTGCTCGCCTCCGTCATCAGGTGCTCGCCTCCGTCATCAGGTGCTCGCCTCCGTCATCAGGTGCTCGCCTCCGTCATCAGGTGCTCGCCTCCGTCATCAGGTGCTCGCCTCCGTCATCAGGTGCTCGCCTCCGTCATCAGGTGCTCGCCTCCGTCATCAGGTGCTCGCCTCCGTCATCAGGTGCTCGCCTCCGTCATCAGGTGCTCGCCTCCGTCATCAGGTGCTCGCCTCCGTCATCAGGTGCTCGCCTCCGTCATCAGGTGCTCGCCTCCGTCATCAGGTGCTCGCCTCCGTCATCAGGTGCTCGCCTCCGTCATCAGGTGCTCGCCTCCGTCATCAGGTGCTCGCCTCCGTCATCAGGTGCTCGCCTCCGTCATCAGGTGCTCGCCTCCGTCATCAGGTGCTCGCCTCCGTCATCAGGTGCTCGCCTCCGTCATCAGGTGCTCGCCTCCGTCATCAGGTGCTCGCCTCCGTCATCAGGTGCTCGCCTCCGTCATCAGGTGCTCGCCTCCGTCATCAGGTGCTCGCCTCCGTCATCAGGTGGTCGCCTTCGTCATCAGGTGCTCGCCTCCGTCATCAGGTGCTCGCCTCCGTCATCAGGTGCTCGCCTCCGTCATCAGGTGCTCGCCTCCGTCATCAGGTGCTAGCCTCCGTCATCAGGTGCTCTCCTCCGTCATCAGGTGCTCGCCTCCGTCATCAGGTGCTCGCCTCCGTCATCTTGTGCTCGCCTCCGTTACCAGGTGCTCGCCTCCGTCATCAGGTGCTCGCCTCCGACATCAGGTGCTCGCCTCCGTCATCAGGTGCTCGCCTCCGTCATCAGGTGCTCGCCTCCGTCATCAGGTGCTCGCCTCCGTCATCAGGTGCTCGCCTCCGTCATCAGGTGCTCGCCTCCGTCATCAGGTGCTCGCCTCCGTCATCAGGTGCTCGCCTCCGTCATCAGGTGCTCGCCTCCGTCATCAGGTGCTCGCCTCCGTCATCAGGTGCTCGCCTCCGTCATCAGGTGCTCGCCTCCGTCATCAGGTGCTCGCCTCCGTCATCAGGTGCTCGCCTCCGTCATCAGGTGCTCGCCTCCGTCATCAGGTGCTCGCCTCCGTCATCAGGTGCTCGCCTCCGTCATCAGGTGCTCGCCTCCGTCATCAGGTGCTCGCCTCCGTCATCAGGTGCTCGCCTCCGTCATCAGGTGCTCGCCTCCGTCATCAGGTGCTCGCCTCCGTCATCAGGTGCTCGCCTCCGTCATCAGGTGCTCGCCTCCGTCATCAGGTGCTCGCCTCCGTCATCAGGTGCTCGCCTCCGTCATCAGGTGCTCGCCTCCGTCATCAGGTGCTCGCCTCCGTCATCAGGTGCTCGCCTCCGTCATCAGGTGCTCGCCTCCGTCATCAGGTGCTCGCCTCCGTCATCAGGTGCTCGCCTCCGTCATCAGGTGCTCGCCTCCGTCATCAGGTGCTCGCCTCCGTCATCAGGTGCTCGCCTCCGTCATCAGGTGCTCGCCTCCGTCATCAGGTGCTCGCCTCCGTCATCAGGTGCTCGCCTCCGTCATCAGGTGCTCGCCTCCGTCATCAGGTGCTCGCCTCCGTCATCAGGTGCTCGCCTCCGTCATCAGGTGCTCGCCTCCGTCATCAGGTGCTCGCCTCCGTCATCAGGTGCTCGCCTCCGTCATCAGGTGCTCGCCTCCGTCATCAGGTGCTCGCCTCCGTCATCAGGTGCTCGCCTCCGTCATCAGGTGCTCGCCTCCGTCATCAGGTGCTCGCCTCCGTCATCAGGTGCTCGCCTCCGTCATCAGGTGCTCGCCTCCGTCATCAGGTGCTCGCCTCCGTCATCAGGTGCTCGCCTCCGTCATCAGGTGCTCGCCTCCGTCATCAGGTGCTCGCCTCCGTCATCAGGTGCTCGCCTCCGTCATCAGGTGCTCGCCTCCGTCATCAGGTGCTCGCCTCCGTCATCAGGTGCTCGCCTCCGTCATCAGGTGCTCGCCTCCGTCATCAGGTGCTCGCCTCCGTCATCAGGTGCTCGCCTCCGTCATCAGGTGCTCGCCTCCGTCATCAGGTGCTCGCCTCCGTCATCAGGTGCTCGCCTCCGTCATCAGGTGCTCGCCTCCGTCATCAGGTGCTCGCCTCCGTCATCAGGTGCTCGCCTCCGTCATCAGGTGCTCGCCTCCGTCATCAGGTGCTCGCCTCCGTCATCAGGTGCTCGCCTCCGTCATCAGGTGCTCGCCTCCGTCATCAGGTGCTCGCCTCCGTCATCAGGTGCTCGCCTCCGTCATCAGGTGCTCGCCTCCGTCATCAGGTGCTCGCCTCCGTCATCAGGTGCTCGCCTCCGTCATCAGGTGCTCGCCTCCGTCATCAGGTGCTCGCCTCCGTCATCAGGTGCTCGCCTCCGTCATCAGGTGCTCGCCTCCGTCATCAGGTGCTCGCCTCCGTCATCAGGTGCTCGCCTCCGTCATCAGGTGCTCGCCTCCGTCATCAGGTGCTCGCCTCCGTCATCAGGTGCTCGCCTCCGTCATCAGGTGCTCGCCTCCGTCATCAGGTGCTCGCCTCCGTCATCAGGTGCTCGCCTCCGTCATCAGGTGCTCGCCTCCGTCATCAGGTGCTCGCCTCCGTCATCAGGTGCTCGCCTCCGTCATCAGGTGCTCGCCTCCGTCATCAGGTGCTCGCCTCCGTCATCAGGTGCTCGCCTCCGTCATCAGGTGCTCGCCTCCGTCATCAGGTGCTCGCCTCCGTCATCAGGTGCTCGCCTCCGTCATCAGGTGCTCGCCTCCGTCATCAGGTGCTCGCCTCCGTCATCAGGTGCTCGCCTCCGTCATCAGGTGCTCGCCTCCGTCATCAGGTGCTCGCCTCCGTCATCAGGTGCTCGCCTCCGTCATCAGGTGCTCGCCTCCGTCATCAGGTGCTCGCCTCCGTCATCAGGTGCTCGCCTCCGTCATCAGGTGCTCGCCTCCGTCATCAGGTGCTCGCCTCCGTCATCAGGTGCTCGCCTCCGTCATCAGGTGCTCGCCTCCGTCATCAGGTGCTCGCCTCCGTCATCAGGTGCTCGCCTCCGTCATCAGGTGCTCGCCTCCGTCATCAGGTGCTCGCCTCCGTCATCAGGTGCTCGCCTCCGTCATCAGGTGCTCGCCTCCGTCATCAGGTGCTCGCCTCCGTCATCAGGTGCTCGCCTCCGTCATCAGGTGCTCGCCTCCGTCATCAGGTGCTCGCCTCCGTCATCAGGTGCTCGCCTCCGTCATCAGGTGCTCGCCTCCGTCATCAGGTGCTCGCCTCCGTCATCAGGTGCTCGCCTCCGTCATCAGGTGCTCGCCTCCGTCATCAGGTGCTCGCCTCCGTCATCAGGTGCTCGCCTCCGTCATCAGGTGCTCGCCTCCGTCATCAGGTGCTCGCCTCCGTCATCAGGTGCTCGCCTCCGTCATCAGGTGCTCGCCTCCGTCATCAGGTGCTCGCCTCCGTCATCAGGTGCTCGCCTCCGTCGTCAGGTGCTCGCCTCCGTCGTCAGGTGCTCGCCTCCGTCAGTCAGGTGCTCGCCTCCGTCATCAGGTGCTCGCCTCCGTCATCAGGTGCTCGCCTCCGTCATCAGGTGCTCGCCTCCGTCATCAGGTGCTCGCCTCCGTCATCAGGTGCTCGCCTCCGTCATCAGGTGCTCGCCTCCGTCATCAGGTGCTCGCCTCCGTCATCAGGTGCTCGCCTCCGTCATCAGGTGCTCGCCTCCGTCATCAGGTGCTCGCCTCCGTCATCAGGTGCTCGCCTCCGTCATCAGGTGCTCGCCTCCGTCATCAGGTGCTCGCCTCCGTCATCAGGTGCTCGCCTCCGTCATCAGGTGCTCGCCTCCGTCATCAGGTGCTCGCCTCCGTCATCAGGTGCTCGCCTCCGTCATCAGGTGCTCGCCTCCGTCATCAGGTGCTCGCCTCCGTCATCAGGTGCTCGCCTCCGTCATCAGGTGCTCGCCTCCGTCATCAGGTGCTCGCCTCCGTCATCAGGTGCTCGCCTCCGTCATCAGGTGCTCGCCTCCGTCATCAGGTGCTCTCCTCCGTCATCTGGTGCTCGCCTCCGTCATCAGGTGCTCGCCTCCGTCATCAGGTGCTCGCCTCCTTCATCAGGTGCTCGCCTCCGTCATCAGGTGCTCGCCTCCGTCATCAGGTGCTCGCCTCCGCCATCAGGTGCTCGCCTCCGTCATCAGGTGCTCGCCTCCGCCATCAGGTGCTCGCCTCCGTCATCAGGTGCTCGCCTCCGTCATCAGGTGCTCGCCTCCGTCATCAGGTGCTCGCCTCCGTCATCAGGTGCTCGCCTCCGTCATCAGGTGCTCTCCTCCGTCATCTGGTGCTCGCCTCCGTCATCTGGTGCTCGCCTCCGTCATCAGGTGCTCGCCTCCGTCATCAGGTGCTCTCCTCCGTCATCTGGTGCTCGCCTCCGTCATCAGGTGCTCGCCTCCGTCATCAGGTGCTCGCCTCCGTCATCAGGTGCTCGCCTCCGTCATCAGGTGCTCGCCTCCGTCATCAGGTGCTCGCCTCCGTCATCAGGTGCTCGCCTCCGTCATCAGGTGCTCGCCTCCGTCATCAGGTGCTCTCCTCCGTCATCAGGTGCTCGCCTCCGTCATCAGGTGCTCGCCTCCGTCATCAGGTGCTCGCCTCCGTCATCAGGTGCTCGCCTCCGTCATCAGGTGCTCGCCTCCGTCATCAGGTGCTCGCCTCCGTCATCAGGTGCTCGCCTCCGTCATTAGGTGCTCGCCTCCGTCATCTTGTGCTCGCCTCCGTCATCAGGTGCTCGCCTCCGTCATTAGGTGCTCTCCTCCGTCATCAGGTGCTCGCCTCCGTCATCAGGTGCTCGCCTCCGTCATCAGGTGCTCGCCTCCGTCATCAGGTGCTCTCCTCCGTCATCAGGTGCTCGCCTCCGTCATCAGGTGCTCGCCTCCGTCATCAGGTGCTCTCCTCCGTCATCAGGTGCTCGCCTCCGTTATCAGGTGCTCGCCTCCGTCATCAGGTGCTCGCCTCCGTCATCAGGTGCTCGCCTCCGTCATCAGGTGTCATCAGGTGTCGTGTGCTGCTCTGCTGTCTCCCGCGCATTTCCATCAAAAGCAGAATCCAGTAATTCCCACTATTCTGCGCCATGCACCCACCGCTCGCCTCGGTGCGCGCCCCACCACGTGGTGTGTTTCCCTTGGGGCGGGCAGGTTCACGGTGCCCGCGGACGACCGCAGCTGGGGGGGGGCGCCGCTGCAGCAGTTTGCATGCGGGTGGAGCAGCATGGAGACGCTCGCCAAGCACCACCTCGTCGTCAAGACCGCCCACCCGCCCAGGTGCCGCCCAGCTGCCGCCCAGTTGCCGCCCAGCTGCCGCCCAGCTTCCGCCCAGCTGCTGCCCAGGTGCTGCCCAGGTGCTTCCCAGGTTCTTCCCAGGTGCCGCGCATGTACCGGCCAGGTGCCTCCCAGATGCCGCCAAGGTGCTGCCCAGGTGCCGCCCACCCCGCTATGCCCGCCCAAGTCACGGGCTGCTGGTGCACGTGGCGGTTGCATGTGTGGCATGCATGGCAGATGGTGGGTGGGTGAGGAACAGGGTATGCTGCACGCATTGCTTTGCAGCCGTGTGTGAGAGGGCCGGGGTCACCCCACCGTCGCCACGCGGCCCCGCACACCCCATCCTCTCCTCCCCATCCTCTCCTCCCCATCCTCTCCTCCCCATCCTCTCCTCCCCATCCGCTCCTCCCCAGCCTCTCCTCCCCATCCCTGCCCTTCCCTCCCACCCGTTCCCCACCCCACCGTTTCTGCTCTGCCCGCCCTTGTGCCGTTGTGCCATGGGCGAGGGCAGCTATGCGCTGTCAGAGGAGGGCCACGGCGTGGCGGTGGACTGCCTGCGCCGCTCCAAGATGCCTCTGCCGCCCGCTGCTGCTGCCCTGCTGCCAGGTGCTCGCTGCTCACCTCACTTGTTCCTCCACCACTCACATGCTCCTCTGCCCCTCCCATTGCAATGTGCCCCTCCCATTGCAATGTGCCCCTCCCATTGCAATGTCCCCCTCCCATTGCAATGTGCCCCTCCCATTGCAATGTGCCCCTCCCATTGCAATGTGCCCCTCCCATTGCAATGTACCCCTCCCATTGCAATGTGCCCCTCCCATTGCAATGTGCCCCTCCCATTGCAATGTGCCCCTCCCATTGCACGGAATGAGTTTGTGTTGTGGATTGCACTCTTAACACGCCCCACCTACTTTCTCTCCCTTCTTCATTGCAAACTGCTCTCCCTTCTTCATTGCAAACTGCTCTCCCTTCTTCATTGCGAACTGCTCTCCCTTCTTCATTCCAAACTGCTCTCCCTTCTTCATTGCAAATTGCTCTCCCTTCTTCATTGCAAACTGCTCTCCCTTCTTCATTGCAAACTGCTCTCCCTTCTTCATTGCGAACTGCTCTCCCTTCTTCATTGCAAACTGCTCTCCCTTCTTCATTGTAAACTGCTCTCCCTTCTTCATTGCAAACTGCTCTCCCTTCTTCATTGCCAACTGCTCTCCCTTCTTCATTGCGAACTGCCCTCCCTTCTTCATTGCAAACTGCTCTCCCTTCTTCATTGCAAACTGCTCTCCCTTCTTCATTGCAAACTGCTCTCCCTTCTTCATTGCAAACTGCTCTCCCTTCTTCATTGCAAACTGCTCTCCCTTCTTCATTGCGAACTGCTCTCCCTTCTTCATTGCAAACTGCTCTCCCTTCTTCATTGCAAACTGCTCTCCCTTCTTCATTGCGAACTGCTCTCCCTTCTTCATTGCAAACTGCTCTCCCTTCTTCATTGCGAACTGCTCTCCCTTCTTCATTGCAAACTGCTCTCCCTTCTTCATTGCAAACTGCCCTCCCTTCTCCATTGCGAACTGCTCTCCCTTCTTCATTGCAAACTGCTCTCCCTTCTTCATTGCGAATTGCTCTCCCTTCTTCATTGCGAACTGCTCTCCCTTCTTCATTGCCAACTGCTCTCCCTTCTTCATTGCAATCTGCCCTCCCTTCTCCATTGCGAACTGCTCTCCCTTCTTCATTGCAAACTGCTCTCCCTTCTTCATTGCAAACTGCTCTCCCTTCTCCATTGGGAACTGCTCTCCTTTCTTCATTGCAAACTGCCCTCCCTTCTCCATTGCGAACTGCTCTCCCTTCTTCATTGCAAACTGCTCTCCCTTCTTCATTGCGAACTGCTCTCCCTTCTTCATTGCAAACTGCTCTCCCTTCTTCATTGCAAACTGCTCTCCCTTCTCCATTGCGAACTGCTCTCCCTTCTTCATTGCGAACTGCTCTCCCTTCTTCATTGCAAACTGCTCTCCCTTCTTCATTGCAAACTGCTCTCCCTTCTTCATTGCAAACTGCTCTCCCTTCTTCATTGCAAACTGCTCTCCCTTCTTCATTGCGAACTGCTCTCCCTTCTTCATTGCAAACTGCTCTCCCTTCTTCATTGCAAACTGCTCTCCCTTCTTCATTGCAAACTGCTCTCCCTTCTTCATTGCGAACTGCTCTCCCTTCTTCATTGCAAACTGCTCTCCCTTCTTCATTGCGAACTGCTCTCCCTTCTTCATTGCAAACTGCTCTCCCTTCTTCATTGCAAACTGCCCTCCCTTCTCCATTGCGAACTGCTCTCCCTTCTTCATTGCAAACTGCTCTCCCTTCTTCATTGCGAATTGCTCTCCCTTCTTCATTGCAAACTGCTCTCCCTTCTTCATTGCAAACTGCTCTCCCTTCTTCATTGCAAACTGCTCTCCCTTCTTCATTGCGAACTGCTCTCCCTTCTTCATTGCAAATTGCTCTCCCTTCTTCATTGCGAACTGCTCTCCCTTCTTCATTGCCAACTGCTCTCCCTTCTTCATTGCAAACTGCCCTCCCTTCTCCATTGCGAACTGCTCTCCCTTCTTCATTGCAAACTGCTCTCCCTTCTTCATTGCAAACTGCTCTCCCTTCTCCATTGCGAACTGCTCTCCCTTCTTCATTGCAAACTGCCCTCCCTTCTCCATTACGAACTGCTCTCCCTTCTCCATTGCGAACTGCTCTCCCTTCTTCATTGCAAACTGCCCTCCCTTCTCCATTGCGAACTGCTCTCCCTTCTTCATTGCGAACTGCTCTCCCTTCTTCATTGCAAATTGCTCTCCCTTCTTCATTGCAAACTGCTCTCCCTTCTTCATTGCAAACTGCTCTCCCTTCTTCATTGCGAACTGCTCTCCCTTCTTCATTGCAAACTGCTCTCCCTTCTTCATTGCAAACTGCTCTCCCTTCTTCATTGCAAACTGCTCTCCCTTCTTCATTGCAAACTGCTCTCCCTTCTTCATTTCCAACTGCTCTCCCTTCTTCATTGCAAACTGCTCTCCCTTCTTCATTGCAAACTGCTCTCCCTTCTTCATTGCAAACTGCTCTCCCTTCTTCATTGCAAACTGCTCTCCCTTCTTCATTGCGAACTGCTCTCCCTTCTTCATTGCAAACTGCTCTCCCTTCTTCATTGCAAACTGCTCTCCCTTCTTCATTGCGAACTGCTCTCCCTTCTTCATTGCAAACTGCTCTCCCTTCTTCATTGCGAACTGCTCTCCCTTCTTCATTGCAAACTGCTCTCCCTTCTTCATTGCAAACTGCCCTCCCTTCTCCATTGCGAACTGCTCTCCCTTCTTCATTGCAAACTGCTCTCCCTTCTTCATTGCGAATTGCTCTCCCTTCTTCATTGCGAACTGCTCTCCCTTCTTCATTGCCAACTGCTCTCCCTTCTTCATTGCAATCTGCCCTCCCTTCTCCATTGCGAACTGCTCTCCCTTCTTCATTGCAAACTGCTCTCCCTTCTTCATTGCAAACTGCTCTCCCTTCTCCATTGGGAACTGCTCTCCTTTCTTCATTGCAAACTGCCCTCCCTTCTCCATTGCGAACTGCTCTCCCTTCTTCATTGCAAACTGCTCTCCCTTCTTCATTGCGAACTGCTCTCCCTTCTTCATTGCAAACTGCTCTCCCTTCTTCATTGCAAACTGCTCTCCCTTCTCCATTGCGAACTGCTCTCCCTTCTTCATTGCAAACTGCCCTCCCTTCTCCATTGCGAACTGCTCTCCCTTCTTCATTGCAAACTGCTCTCCCTTCTTCATTGCGAACTGCTCTCCCTTCTTCATTGCAAACTGCTCTCCCTTCTTCATTGCAAACTGCTCTCCCTTCTTCATTGCAAACTGCTCTCCCTTCTTCATTGCGAACTGCTCTCCCTTCTTCATTGCAAACTGCTCTCCCTTCTTCATTGCAAACTGCTCTCCCTTCTCCATTGCGAACTGCTCTCCCTTCTTCATTGCAAACTGCCCTCCCTTCTCCATTGCGAACTGCTCTCCCTTCTTCATTGCGAACTGCTCTCCCTTCTTCATTGCAAATTGCTCTCCCTTCTTCATTGCAAACTGCTCTCCCTTCTTCATTGCAAACTGCTCTCCCTTCTTCATTGCGAACTGCTCTCCCTTCTTCATTGCAAACTGCTCTCCCTTCTTCATTGCAAACTGCTCTCCCTTCTTCATTGCAAACTGCTCTCCCTTCTTCATTGCAAACTGCTCTCCCTTCTTCATTTCCAACTGCTCTCCCTTCTTCATTGCAAACTGCTCTCCCTTCTTCATTGCAAACTGCTCTCCCTTCTTCATTGCAAACTGCTCTCCCTTCTTCATTGCAAACTGCTCTCCCTTCTTCATTGCGAACTGCTCTCCCTTCTTCATTGCAAACTGCTCTCCCTTCTTCATTGCAAACTGCTCTCCCTTCTTCATTGCGAACTGCTCTCCCTTCTTCATTGCAAACTGCTCTCCCTTCTTCATTGCGAACTGCTCTCCCTTCTTCATTGCAAACTGCTCTCCCTTCTTCATTGCAAACTGCCCTCCCTTCTCCATTGCGAACTGCTCTCCCTTCTTCATTGCAAACTGCTCTCCCTTCTTCATTGCGAATTGCTCTCCCTTCTTCATTGCGAACTGCTCTCCCTTCTTCATTGCCAACTGCTCTCCCTTCTTCATTGCAATCTGCCCTCCCTTCTCCATTGCGAACTGCTCTCCCTTCTTCATTGCAAACTGCTCTCCCTTCTTCATTGCAAACTGCTCTCCCTTCTCCATTGGGAACTGCTCTCCTTTCTTCATTGCAAACTGCCCTCCCTTCTCCATTGCGAACTGCTCTCCCTTCTTCATTGCAAACTGCTCTCCCTTCTTCATTGCGAACTGCTCTCCCTTCTTCATTGCAAACTGCTCTCCCTTCTTCATTGCAAACTGCTCTCCCTTCTCCATTGCGAACTGCTCTCCCTTCTTCATTGCAAACTGCCCTCCCTTCTCCATTGCGAACTGCTCTCCCTTCTTCATTGCAAACTGCTCTCCCTTCTTCATTGCGAACTGCTCTCCCTTCTTCATTGCAAACTGCTCTCCCTTCTTCATTGCAAACTGCTCTCCCTTCTTCATTGCAAACTGCTCTCCCTTCTTCATTGCGAACTGCTCTCCCTTCTTCATTGCAAACTGCTCTCCCTTCTTCATTGCAAACTGCTCTCCCTTCTCCATTGCGAACTGCTCTCCCTTCTTCATTGCAAACTGCCCTCCCTTCTCCATTGCGAACTGCTCTCCCTTCTTCATTGCGAACTGCTCTCCCTTCTTCATTGCAAATTGCTCTCCCTTCTTCATTGCAAACTGCTCTCCCTTCTTCATTGCAAACTGCTCTCCCTTCTTCATTGCGAACTGCTCTCCCTTCTTCATTGCAAACTGCTCTCCCTTCTTCATTGCAAACTGCTCTCCCTTCTTCATTGCAAACTGCTCTCCCTTCTTCATTGCAAACTGCTCTCCCTTCTTCATTTCCAACTGCTCTCCCTTCTTCATTGCAAACTGCTCTCCCTTCTTCATTGCAAACTGCTCTCCCTTCTTCATTGCAAACTGCTCTCCCTTCTTCATTGCAAACTGCTCTCCCTTCTTCATTGCGAACTGCTCTCCCTTCTTCATTGCAAACTGCTCTCCCTTCTTCATTGCAAACTGCTCTCCCTTCTTCATTGCGAACTGCTCTCCCTTCTTCATTGCAAACTGCTCTCCCTTCTTCATTGCGAACTGCTCTCCCTTCTTCATTGCAAACTGCTCTCCCTTCTTCATTGCAAACTGCCCTCCCTTCTCCATTGCGAACTGCTCTCCCTTCTTCATTGCAAACTGCTCTCCCTTCTTCATTGCGAATTGCTCTCCCTTCTTCATTGCGAACTGCTCTCCCTTCTTCATTGCCAACTGCTCTCCCTTCTTCATTGCAATCTGCCCTCCCTTCTCCATTGCGAACTGCTCTCCCTTCTTCATTGCAAACTGCTCTCCCTTCTTCATTGCAAACTGCTCTCCCTTCTCCATTGCGAACTGCTCTCCCTTCTTCATTGCAAACTGCCCTCCCTTCTCCATTGCGAACTGCTCTCCCTTCTTCATTGCAAACTGCTCTCCCTTCTTCATTGCGAACTGCTCTCCCTTCTTCATTGCAAACTGCTCTCCCTTCTTCATTGCAAACTGCTCTCCCTTCTCCATTGCGAACTGCTCTCCCTTCTTCATTGCAAACTGCCCTCCCTTCTCCATTGCGAACTGCTCTCCCTTCTTCATTGCAAACTGCTCTCCCTTCTTCATTGCGAACTGCTCTCCCTTCTTCATTGCAAACTGCTCTCCCTTCTTCATTGCAAACTGCCCTCCCTTCTCCATTGCGAACTGCTCTCCCTTCTTCATTGCAAACTGCTCTCCCTTCTTCATTGCGAATTGCTCTCCCTTCTTCATTGCGAACTGCTCTCCCTTCTTCATTGCCAACTGCTCTCCCTTCTTCATTGCAATCTGCCCTCCCTTCTCCATTGCGAACTGCTCTCCCTTCTTCATTGCAAACTGCTCTCCCTTCTTCATTGCAAACTGCTCTCCCTTCTCCATTGCGAACTGCTCTCCCTTCTTCATTGCAAACTGCCCTCCCTTCTCCATTGCGAACTGCTCTCCCTTCTTCATTGCCAACTGCTCTCCCTTCTTCATTGCAATCTGCCCTCCCTTCTCCATTGCGAACTGCTCTCCCTTCTTCATTGCAAACTGCTCTCCCTTCTTCATTGCAAACTGCTCTCCCTTCTCCATTGCGAACTGCTCTCCCTTCTTCATTGCAAACTGCCCTCCCTTCTCCATTGCGAACTGCTCTCCCTTCTTCATTGCAAACTGCTCTCCCTTCTTCATTGCGAACTGCTCTCCCTTCTTCATTGCAAACTGCTCTCCCTTCTTCATTGCAAACTGCTCTCCCTTCTCCATTGCGAACTGCTCTCCCTTCTTCATTGCAAACTGCCCTCCCTTCTCCATTGCGAACTGCTCTCCCTTCTTCATTGCAAACTGCTCTCCCTTCTTCATTGCAAACTGCTCTCCCTTCTTCATTGCAAACTGCTCTCCCTTCTTCATTGCAAACTGCCCTCCCTTCTCCATTGCGAACTGCTCTCCCTTCTTCATTGCAAACTGCTCTCCCTTCTTCATTGCGAATTGCTCTCCCTTCTTCATTGCGAACTGCTCTCCCTTCTTCATTGCCAACTGCTCTCCCTTCTTCATTGCAATCTGCCCTCCCTTCTCCATTGCGAACTGCTCTCCCTTCTCCATTGCGAACTGCTCTCCCTTCTTCATTGCAAACTGCTCTCCCTTCTTCATTGCGAACTTCTCTCCCTTCTTCATTGCAAACTGCTCTCCCTTCTTCATTGCAAACTGCTCTCCCTTCTTCATTGCAAACTGCTCTCCCTTCTTCATTGCGAACTGCTCTCCCTTCTTCATTGCAAACTGCTCTCCCTTCTTCATTGCGAACTGCTCTCCCTTCTTCATTGCAAACTGCTCTCCCTTCTTCATTGCAAACTGCTCTCCCTTCTCCATTGCGAACTGCTCTCCCTTCTTCATTGCAAACTGCCCTCCCTTCTCCATTGCGAACTGCTCTCCCTTCTTCATTGCAAACTGCTCTCCCTTCTTCATTGCGAACTGCTCTCCCTTCTTCATTGCAAACTGCTCTCCCTTCTTCATTGCAAACTGCCCTCCCTTCTCCATTGCGAACTGCTCTCCCTTCTTCATTGCAAACTGCTCTCCCTTCTTCATTGCGAATTGCTCTCCCTTCTTCATTGCGAACTGCTCTCCCTTCTTCATTGCCAACTGCTCTCCCTTCTTCATTGCAATCTGCCCTCCCTTCTCCATTGCGAACTGCTCTCCCTTCTCCATTGCGAACTGCTCTCCCTTCTTCATTGCAAACTGCTCTCCCTTCTTCATTGCGAACTGCTCTCCCTTCTTCATTGCAAACTGCTCTCCCTTCTTCATTGCAAACTGCTCTCCCTTCTTCATTGCAAACTGCTCTCCCTTCTTCATTGCGAACTGCTCTCCCTTCTTCATTGCAAACTGCTCTCCCTTCTTCATTGCAAACTGCTCTCCCTTCTTCATTGCAAACTGCTCTCCCTTCTCCATTGCGAACTGCTCTCCCTTCTTCATTGCAAACTGCCCTCCCTTCTCCATTGCGAACTGCTCTCCCTTCTTCATTGCAAACTGCTCTCCCTTCTTCATTGCGAACTGCTCTCCCTTCTTCATTGCAAACTTCTGCTCTCTCCCCTCTCTTGATTTTATACCCGCTCCCCTCTCTCCTTCCTCTCTGTCTCGCCTCCCCATTGCCCTCCTACCCGCCTTCCTTGCTGCCATGCTACCATTGCACGGCCGGTGGGCAGCAGCAGCGGCGGACAGCGGAGGTGCACCAGTGGGCAGACAGGTGTGTCCGATCCTAGCCACGCCTTTCATGCCTGCTCGCTCACGTCATAGCATATTTTTGGCCATGGCGCATACGTGCTGCAACTCTCCATCCTACACTCTCATGCCATGTCATCTGCACCTCACCCTTGCACCATTCTTTCGATCCAATGTCGGGTATTGCAAAGTCCTCTGCTTGGATTGTTTCAGCACCACCCAGTTCCTGACAGCAAATGTGTTTCCAACCGCACTCCTTCCCCCGCCTGTTTTAGAGCATCTCACTGAGAGCCATCCCTTCATCATGCCATCACACCTCCCCGCCACCTCACATGCGCTTTAATTCCTGGTCTTTGCCCAACGTTCAGGTATCATTCAGAAGCTAGAATGCGTTCAGCGTTGTGAAAATGCTAGATGTGCTTCAGTGACCTATGTCAGGCAGTTGTCTCGGACATTCTCTCACGTGTGTCCGCTCGGTCCCCTCTACCTCCCTCATGTGCGCCAAAATGCACCTCGTTTCCCTCCCTCTCTCACCAACCCTTCCCGTGCCCTTCCTCCATGCCCCCCTGCCCTGCCTGCCCTACACCCCTCTGCACCCCTCTGCACCCCCCTGCACGCCATGGGTGGCAGCCACTGCAGTGGTCCGCACAGCTTCTCAACGACCCCTCCGCCATGCTCGACCTGCCAGGTGATCTGCCAGGTGATCTGCCAGGTGATCTGCCAGGTGATCTGCCAGGTGATCTGCCAGGTGATCTGCCAGGTGGTCTGCCAGGTGGTCTGCCAGGTGACTTGCTTACCGTACCACTCCACACCGTACCACTCCACACCGCATCCACTGGCGCATCCCTCTCGCTCGTCCTCTGCTCCTCTCCGCGCACCTCGGGCAGGCAGCAGCGGCGTGGAGGGCGAGGAGGACTGGCAGGTGCCCCCCCTGGCGCTGGGGGAGCGGTTCTCAGAGGCGTATGACGTCATCATCTTCATTGACAACCGCGACAGCGAGTGAGTGAGGCGTGCGTGCTGCCGTGCTGCTGCGTGCTGCATGCTGCATGGCGCATGGCACAAGGAAGGATGTGTGTGCGGGTGCTTGCGTGGTCCAATCACTCGTGCATGCTGCATGCTGCATGCTGCGCAACCAATCGTGTCTGCTGGCTGGGCTACATACATGAGCAGCACGCATGCCCCACCTCACCACCCATGTCCACGCCCCACCTCACGACCCATGGCCATGTGTGACCATGCCCCTCCTCGTTGCCCGCGCCACCTTCTCCCCCTCTCGTCTCCCCCTCTCGTCTCCCCCTCTCGTCTCCCCCTCTCGTCTCCCCCTCTCATCTCCCCCTCTCGTCTCCCCCTCTCGTCTCCCCCTCGTCTCCCCCTCTCGTCTCCCCCTCTCGTGTCCCCCTCTCGTGTCCCCCCAGGTGCCACGGGCCTGTGTTCGCCAACCAGTTGTCCGCACAGTTTGGGCTCGCCACTGAGGTGAGGCAGTGAGGTGAGGCAGTGAGGTGAGGCAGTGAGGTGAGGCAGTGAGATGGCAGAGCGGCCTGCCCTGTCCGCGTCTTTCCCCTCCTCCCATGCTCCCCATTCTCCCCCCTCCCTGCACCACTGACTTCTTCCCCATCCTGTGTGCCCCCTTCCCTTCCCCCTGTACCACACTCACTTCCTCCCACCAGTCTGACCTTCCTATACCCGTTCACCGTTCTGCACTCCCCTGTCCACCACTCTGATCTCCCGTGCATCACGTCCCTCAGCTGCACTGCCATCGCGCAGCAGGAGCTGCCGTGCATGGTGCCATGCCACCCGCCTCCCACATCCCTCCCGTTCCGCCCCCTCAACCGCCCTCCTTCCCCCGGCCAGGTGCACGCGCTGCCAGCGGGCGACGCCATGTGGGTGGCGAGGCAGCGAGCCAGCGGGCGGGACTACGTGCTGGACTTCATAGTGGAGTTCACGCGCGCGCACGACCTCTGGATGGCCATCAAGTCCTCCCGCTTTCGCGACCAGCGCCTGCGCCTGCAGGTCAGCCACCCCTGCCATGCGCCTGCAGGTTCGTGGGCATGTTCTTGCCGCCAGGTCAACCCTGCACCTCCAGGTCAACCCTGCACCTCCAGGTCAACCCTGCACCTCCAGGTCAACCCTGCACCTCCAGGTCAACCCTGCACCTCCAGGTCAACCCTGCACCTCCAGGTCAACCCTGCACTTCCAGGTCAACCCTGCACCTCCAGGTCAACCCTACACCTCCAGGTCAGCCCTGCACCTCCAGGTCAGCCCTGCACCGCCAGGTCAACCCTGCACCGCCAGGTCAACCCTGCACCTCCAGGTCAACCCTGCACGTGCCTATGCAGGTTAGAATGTGATGGACGGTGAGTTGGTGTCTCTGTGTGACTGTTTAATGCTATTAGAAGGTTCGCCTGATTTGCTATTAGAAGGTTCGCCTGATTTGCTATTAGAAGGTTCGCCTGATTTGCTATTAGAAGGTTCGCCTGATTTGCTATTAGAAGGTTCGCCTGATTTGCTATTAGAAGGTTCGCCTGATTTGCTTGCGGTTGGCGCACCAACTTGAGCTCAAAGGACTTGTGAAGCTTACACCTTCCTAGCACATCAAGAATGAGAAAGCAATCGGCCACTCTCTTCTAAGATTAATTGAGTGAAAATCTTTCTTTCGGCTGAACGTCACGTCAAGGCAGAGCGTGTGGCTTTCACCTGCCTGCCATGCAATGATCTGCTCCGCCCCCTACTGGCTCTCTTCCTCTGCTACCTCAGCGGTGCGGCGTGCGGCGTCTGTTGTGCCTGGTGGACGGCTCACTGGACGACCTCATCGCCTCCGACCCCAACCGAGCCGCGTCAGTCCGCCCCCCCGCCCCGCCCCCCCCGCTCCCACTTCCCCTCCCTCTCCTACTTGCGTGCCCCGTATCTCCCATTCAGCCTCTCTCTGTCACTTGCCCATCCACCCTTGTCACTCCCTTGTATCACCTTCTCTCCCACGACCACTCTTTCTGCCTCTACAACTCCCTGCCTTGCATCACCCTCGATTCTTGTCTCTACTGTCAGCTGTGCTTCCTGTGTGCCATATCACCCATCACCCATCGCACCCCTCCCCCCTGGGCAGCATGATATCCGCGGAGATGGAGGAGGGCGTGGACATACAGCAGACGGCGTCGCTGCACGACACCAAGCACCGCTACCTCGACATCACCACCGCTCTCACCCGCCGCTACAACGACGCCGCTGCCGCGCTGCACCTCCACCTGCAGCAGCAAGCCCACGCGGGCGGCGCACCCCCCTCGCCCCCTCCGCCCTGTCCGCTGTACGGCGAGTTCGTGGCGACGTGCCGCTCCGTGCAGTCCGACTCCGTCAGCAACCTCTTTGGCCACCTGCTGCTGCAGGTGCGCTGTGCTGGGCGCATGGGGTGCTGCTGCTGCACGTGCTGATGGTGGGGCAAGGGGCATGCGGCTGCACGTGCGGTGGGGTGGGGGCGTGGTGCATGTGACTGACAGTGGTGTGGTGCTGGAGGTGGCAAGTGAGCGCATGCTGCCTGGATTTCTAAGTGCACTACAACCAACCTCCTCCCCAACTCTCTTACCTCAACTGCCGTCTCCTTTCACCCTCACCTCCCCACCTCCCACACCTGCCCCCCTCCCGCCCCCTGCCCCCCGCTACCTCTGTGCCCCACCAGGTGCGCTCGGTGTCGGTGGACACGGCCATCGCTGTGCTGCGCCGCTTCCCCTCGCTGCGGGCGCTCGTCAATGCCTACCAGCTCATGGTGCGTGTCGTTCTATCACCCTTTCGTCATTCTTTTGCACCCTGTGTTCTCGCTCGCTCTATGAACATCTATTCATCAATTTCTCTTACACCACACCCGTGTGACGCACGGCATGGCAGGAGGGCAACCCAGAGGGGCAGGCGCTGCTGCTGACGCGCATAACAGTGAAGGGGCGGCGCATAAGTGAGGCTGTCAGCCGCAAGGTGTACGAGATCGTGTGGACGTAGCAAGGTGTACGAGATCGTGTTGACGTAGCAAGGTGTACGAGATCGTGTTGACGTAGCAAGGTGTACGAGATCGTGTGGACGTAGCAAGGTGTACGAGATCGTGTGGACGTAGCAAGGTGTACGAGATCGTGTGGACGTAGCAAGGTGTACGAGATCGTGTGGACGTAGCAAGGTGTACGAGATCGTGTGGACGTAGCAAGGTGTACGAGATCGTGTGGACGTAGCAAGGTGTACGAGATCGTGTTGACGTAGCAAGGTGTACGAGATCGTGTGGACGTAGCAAGGTGTACGAGATCGTGTGGACGTAGCAAGGTGTACGAGATCGTGTGGACGTAGCCCCGCCTTGCCTCACTCGCACTTGTTCTGAGCTATTATCAGCTTGTAAAATGAATTTATTGCTTATATGATGTGTTGTTTAAGCCCTGGTGTTCATGTCTAGCCAGACGGTGGTGGTGGTGCGTGCCTTCTCCACTGCGCCACTCCCCCCAGAAACACCCACGCCCTCACTGCACCAACTAGACATGGGCAGGAGTAAGAGGCATAAACCACAGTCCACCCAAGCTATATTGCCCTATGCATGTTGCGCATGGCAGCATCCCAGCCACCCGCGCCCTGAGTGCAGTTCGCCCCCCTCATGCGTCCACGGTGCGGCGCCCCTCACACGTGGCACACACACGAGCGCCATTGCATGCCACACAGTACCGCCACTTGTTCGCCAGCCTGCCAGCACCACACCCCACCCACCCATGGCATGGCACGGGCAGTGGGACCGTGAGAGTGTGAGTGAGAGTGACCCGTCAGTGTGCTGAGGGTGGTGTGAGTGTGTGGTCAGTGGGGATGGTGTGTGGCCACTGCCTGCCCCCTCTCCCACCCCCATCCACCACTGCCTGCCCCCTCTCCCACCCCCATCCACCACTGCCTGCCCCCTCTCCCACCCCCATCCACCACTGCCTACCCCCTCTCCCACCCCCATCCACCACTGCCTGCCCCCTCTCCCACCCCCATCCACCACTGCCTGCCCCCTCTCCCACCCCCATCCACCACTGCCTGCCCCCTCTCCCACCCCCATCCACCACTGCCTGCCCCCTCTCCCACCCCCATCCACCACTGCCTGCCCCCTCTCCCACCCCCATCCACCACTGCCTGCCCCCTCTCCCACCCCCATCCACCACTGCCTGCCCCCTCTCCCACCCCCATCCACCACTGCCTGCCCCCTCTCCCACCCCCCTGCGCCTTCACCCGCTCCTTCATCCCTTCCAAGCATTCCCTTCCCTCTCTCCTTTCTCCCCACCATCTCTTCCTACCTCTTCCCTCTCATCACCTGGCGGAGGAGCGTTGGGCGGAGGGGGGGTTGGAGGCCAGTCCGCGGGAGGGCTGCCCCGCGCTGGCAGCTTTGGGCACGAAGCCCTCGCCCTGGCACGCGCTGCAGATGCCGCTGCCCCTGCACGCCGCGCATGGCACCTGCTGGGGCCGTGGATATGGTGCAGGAGGCAGCGCAGGTGGGAGGTTCAATGGGCATAGCAGGGTTTTGGATGGATACGAGAGGGGAAGAGATGATGGGGCACGCGACCCACTATCATTCCTGGGACTCGCCCCTCCACCCCTTACTTGGCACTTTACTTGAACATGCGTTTACCTACCAAGCTTACGTTCGTGTTCTGTGAGAAACATTTCTGGCTGGCCTGGGAAAGAGCACATTTTGACGGCCAAGTGGCTACACGGGAAGGAAAGATAGACTCTAAGTGAACGTTTGCGTGAGCAACAAAGTCAGAAAGTGCTTGGAGTCCACGCACATGGCCGCACACTCCTGCTCTCACCACCACCAGCATCCTTCCCACCCCACCCCACCTCACCCCACCTCACCTCATCTCGCCTCACCTTAACCTTAGCAGCAGCAGCGCCCTCGCCCTCCCCTGCTCTCTCCGACTCCCCTCCTCGCTGCAGCCCCACCAGCACCGCTGCCGCCCCAACCACCGCCACAGCGCCGCCCACAATGGCTGCCATGCCGCCCATGTCGCCGTCCGCTGCCGCCCGCACAGTGCGGGGTTGCCTTGGGCGCGTGGCTGCAAGGGGGAGCACTGCGGGCAGGGCTGCTGGCCGCCATGCGCCTGGCAAGCACGGGGCGCGCGAGTGTGGGTGCGGCAGGGGGGGCAGCTGCGTGGCGGCGCAGCAGCAACACGCGCAGGGGGAAGCGGACGCGCGTGGAGCTGTGAGGAGGGGAAGGGAGGGCAGGGCAGGGAAGGGGGGGAACGGGGTGGGTTGTTGCGGGGAGGGAAAGGAAAGGCGCAAGGAAGAAGATTGAGCGCAGGTTGAATGGCAGGGAGGAGCGGGCACGCGGGGAGATGGCACGCGCAGTGAGGGCTGTGTGTGGGTGCTGGCTGAGGCCGCCCGCTGATGAGGGGCGGCACAGACGGACGGGCAGAGGGGCGAGCGAGTGAGGGGATGCGTGCAAGGGGAGGCGCGTTGGGGGAGGGGGGAGGGGCGAGTGGGGGGGCAGGCGGCGTGGGGAGGTGAGGGCGGCGCGACGGGTGGACACGACGGCGGGGAAGGGAGGTGCGCTGATCAGTGGCGACACATGGGCCATGGCGGGTGGCACATGGCGGGTGGGGAGGCACGATGCGTGCGCACTCAGGGCGGGCGCGGGGAGGAGCGGATGAAGGTGGAAGGGAGGCAGGGGGGTGGAGCAGTGGAATGGGAGGCGCATTGAGAGAGCGGGCGCGGGAAGAAGGTGCGGTTAGGGCAGTGGGTGAGCACACGCGCGATGTGCGGCGGTGGGGGCGAGGCACTGACGCAATGTGTGGGCAGACGACGACGAGAGCGGCGGCGAAGCGACGAGGGCGAGCGATGGTGCCATGGCGGGATGCACGGCGACAGTCGCGAAATCGAGTCTGATGACGATCTCGCACTGCTGGGCCCGAATGGTACACACGTCAAACACCAACAGAATTGACCAACATTGGAATTTCTCTAATTCCTTTGTAAGGAATTTCCCCCATTCCTTACTGATTCACTCTCTAAGTACGCTTTATGCGTACAACTCCAACTTTCAAAAGACGACCTCGCCTCCGGAACGTACTTCGCGTCGCCTTCGGGTTTACCAACACCGAACCAGCACCCAACCTTCGCGATCCCGCAGACCGCAGCCTAGCTAGCCTTTCGTCTCAGAGAACGCATTGCGGAATGAAAGTGAACACTAATGTTTTGTACTCTTAACAAAGTACCTCATGTCAAACTATGTTTCTATGTTGTAGGCTGTAGTGGGGTAGCCTCTACTGAGTACAGAACTTTAGGGTTAGACCTTGTACTCATCCATCATTTCTAGTCACTCATTCTTGCTCGTTATTCTTGACATGGTATTCAGAGCAGGTCCCTCCGTAGGACCGCTCCGTTAGGGCCCACCGTTAATATTTCGCACCCTGCCCTGCAGCCTGCGCGTCGCCTTGCCCTGCAGCCTGCGCGCCGCCCTGCCCTGCAGCCCGCGCGCCGTCCTACGGCTAACGCGCCCTGCAGCCAGTGCGCCCTGCAGCTTAGGACATGGCTGTTTTCTGCCCGTGGCGCGCCTCTACTCCTGCCCGTTTTTCTACCCGTGGCGCATCCCTAGAGTGCGCGCCTCCAGTAGCCCGTCGAGCGCCCTTAGCCCGCTTTCGTCCTACTGGCATCACCACTCCTATTACTACTGCCACTGCCTGCCATGGCCACTACCACTGTCCTACGTCAGCGGCAGCCGGGTGTGCAGGAGTCTCTCTTGCCGCGGCATCTTCGCGAGTGGGCTATCTAGTGGGGCAGCCCTGGTGGTGGAGCTAGCCGTGCTAGAGCTAGAGGTGCTGGTGCTCGCGTTGCTCGTACTCGTTGGCAGGGGACGCTCTCGTCGCAGCAGCTTCGCGAGTGGGCTGTCCGGTGGGGCAGCCCCGGCGGCGGAGCCTGTGGTGCTACTACTGGAGGTACCTGTGAGTCTACTCGTACTGGTAGTGCCGTTGGTGGACACGGAGGTTCAAGGGGTGCATAGCAGCGGCAGCAGCGTCCGCCAGAGACCCTCTTGCAACAACATCTTCGTGAGTGGACTGTCCGGTGGGGCAGCCCCGGTGGCGGAGCTTGGGGTACTAGTGCTGGGGGTGGAGAGGCACCAGGTGGTGTAGAGGCTACTAGTAGGTGCTTGTGACTCAGCTAGCACAGGTGCAGAGTTTGAGGAGGCCTTGCACAGTTTCCTACTTGACTCACGCACGTCTCGCTGCTTCTTCCGCGACTGCACCACAGTCAAACCGCTCACAACCCCTGTCCCTGTCACTTTGGCCGACCCCTCCGGTGGCCCGATTGTTGCACGTAGCTCCACTGTTCTCCCGTGTCCCGCAGCCCCCTCCGGTTCCCTCACAGGTTTCCACCTCCCCTCGTTCTCTAGGAACTTGGTGGCTACAGCTGTCCTACAGGACCAGTTTGTCACTGTTACCCCGCCTGGGGGAGAGCTCGTGGCGATTTGTACGGACTCACGCACTGGCGAGCACCTCGCCACGTTCACTTGGAGGCCCGGGTCTAGTCTGTACACACTGACCAATGAGTCTGCACAGGTGGCTGAGTCAGGTCAGGTAGCTGCGTCGGTTGAGGTAGCTGCGACTTGTTCGTGTCGTCTCCTCACACACCAGACTCTCCTCTGGCACCACCATCTTGGTCACCCCTCCTTGTGCACGCCTGCATGACATGCACTCCCATCTCCCATCCCCTTTGGCCTCCCCAGGTCCCTGCCCCCGCTCCTGAGGTCGCTTGCGCCGCCATGCCTTCCCCGCGTCGAGGGGCGGCTTCGCGCCGCTCCTCACTCCTCCTCGTTTCCTCTGACCACAACTCATCTGCAGACCCTCCACATGGATGTATGGGGTCCAGCCCGCGTCACTGGACAGGGCGGAGAGTGCTGCTTTTTGCTGGTTGTTGACGACTATACGCGCTACACCACAGTATTCCCCTTGCAGAACAAGGCGCATATCCGTAGTGTGTTGATCCGCTGGATCCGTGCTGTCCGTCGCCAGCTCAGCGTTCGGTTGCGGCAGGACCTCTCGGTCCTGCGGCTGCACTCTGACCGAGGTGGTGAGTTTTTCTCCCGCCTCCTTGATGACTTCTGTGGTGCTGAGGGCATCCGCCAGTTGTTCACGCTTCCGGCCTCTCCCCAGTAGAATGGGATTGCAGAGCGCCGCATCGGCTTGGTCATGGAGGTTGCTGTCAGATTTATATGACATAGCTACTGTAGGCTATAGTGGGGTAGCACATATGGGGTACAGTTTTCTAGGGTTTACATTTGTACCCAACTTTCCCTTAGTCATTCTCATTCCTCGTTTCTTCTCATGGTATCGAGCAGGTTCCCTAGTGGGAACGATTCCTAGGGCCCACCACCACGAAATTTTTTTTCCTGCCCGGAGCGCGCTTCGCTCCGGCCCGAGTCGCGCCCTGTGTGCTCTCCCTACCGTCGCGCCCTCGCTAGGCCCCTCACGGCCCCGTCGCGTCGCCCTTAGCGGCCCTCTCACGGCTCCCTAGCGCCGCCCTTATGGCTCGTCGCGCCGCCCTTACGGCCCGTCGCGCCGCCCTTACGGCCCGTCGCGCCCGTCGCGCCGCCCTCACGGCCCCTCGTGCCGCCCTTACGGCCCGTCGCGCCGCCCTTACGGCCCGTCGCACCCGTCGCGCCGCCCCCACGGCCCCTCGTGCCGCCCTTACGGCCCCTCGTGCCGCCCTTACGGCCCCTCGCGCTATCCTTACGGGCCCTCCCGCGGCCCCTTCGGCCCCTCCCGTCGCCAGTCGGCCCCTTACGGCCCCCTCGCGGCCCCTCGAGCCGCCTTCCGCGGCCTCCTCACGGCCTGTCGCCGCCCTCGACGGCCCCTCGTGGCGCCCTTCACGGCCTCTCCGCCGCTCTTCGCGGCCCCTAGCGGCCGGCAGCCGCCGTCCCTGAGGCAGCAGCCGCAGCCGTCTCTGCAGCAGCAGTCGCCACAGCTTCTGCGACTGCTGCCGCGGTCGTCACCAACCACACCAGCCGCCGAGCCGCCCAGCAGCCGACCGCCGAACCGCCCGGGCCGCCGAGTTGCCGAGTCGCCCGAGCCGCCCGAGCCGCCGAGTCGCCCGAGCCGCCCGAGCCGCCGAGCCGCCCGAGCCGCCGTGTCGCCGACCCGCCGTCCTGCCGAGCCGCCGAGCCGCCGAGCCGCCCGAGCCGCCCTGTCCGGTAAGAGCAGCGCCTCTATCACTGCACTGCCCTTACCCTACTGTTCGCACTGCTAGTCTACTGCTGTCATGGCTACCCCTAGTGTCCTCGCCTTTGACGCTGAGGGTCGGGCCATTGACTTTGACATCTGGGTAGATGACCTGCAGCTTTTCTTACAGTGCGATAGGGCAGACGGTCTCTCCCTCTTTGACCTCACCTCTGGTGCCTCTCCTGCCCCTGCTGCTGATGCCGACGCCACTGTTCGCTCACAGTGGGCCACACGAGATGCTGCTGCACGTCTAGCTGTGCGTCGCCACCTGCCTACCTCTGAGCGTGCGCACTTTAGCCAGTACAAGAGTGCTCACACCTTGTACGACGCTGTAGTTGCGCGCTACTCCTCCCCTGCCACTGCTGCACTGAGCCGCCTCATGCTACCGTACCTCTTCCCTGACCTTGCTGCCTTTCCCACAGTCGCTGACCTCATTACGCACCTCCGCACTAGTGACACTCGCTACCGCGCTGCGCTTCCTGCTGAGTTCTGCGCCAAGAACCCCCCCCCCATGTACATCACCCTCTACTACATAGTCACCCGGCTCCCTGACTCCCTTCGCGTAGTCAGGGACCACTTCCTCTCAGTTTGCCCCACCACTCTTACCGTTGACCTCCTCGAGAAGGCCCTCCTAGCAGCAGAGAAGAGCATAGTCGCTGTAGGAGCCTCTCGTGGTGACCCTCGCACCCCCGTCTTTGAGGGGTGTTCCCCCTCCCCCCTTTTTCCCTCTGTTGCCTCTGCTGCTGCGGCCGACCTCGTTGGTCTCGAGTCGGTCGGCGCTGCGTCTGCCCCGTGCGGGAGACGCCGCACCGGCAAGGGCAAGGGGGGCAAGGGTGCTGGAGGGGCTGGCGGGGGTGGCGGAGGTGGCGGTGGCGGCAGTGGAGGGGGTGGGGGTGGTGGTGGGAGTGGTGGCGGGGGTGGAGGTGTCGGTGGCGGCAGTGGAGGCGGAGGCGGCGGCGGCGGTGGCGGTGGGAGCGGAGGTGGCGGAGGTGGCGGCGGTGGCGGAGGCGGCGGCGGAGGAGGTGGAGCTGGTCGGGGTGGCGCTGGGCAGAGGGTCGGCTCCGGTGGTGGTCAGCGCCAGCAGCAGCAGCAGCGGCAGCAGCGCACTCGTGACATCCCCCCCCCTCAGCAGCTCCGTGAGTGGTACGCTGCACGCCAGCGGGGTGGGGGTACTGGTCCGTGCACCTACGTCCTACGCACCGGCGACCGCGCGGGTGAGCAGTGCGGGGGTGCGCACTCCACCCAGCGCTGCTTTGGCCGCCTGACGGACGCTTGGTGTCACCAGTTCCCTGAGGCCACTGAGATCCCCCGCTGGGGCGAGCTGTCTAGGGCGGGTGTAGCTGTCTTTGACCTTGACTTTGATGCTATTCTTGCTGCCATGTATGCTGTGACTATTAGTGATGAGGGTGACTGTTACCGGTGTTTTCCGCCCGACCCGGGCATTGAGACTGCTGCTCTAGGTACTGGTGAGGCTGCTGCTCTA